ATGAGAATGTCACGTGCCGAAGATGATCAGATCACATGCGTGCTGTTGGCGTTGGAAGGATAGCGTGCGAGATCGATCTCCGAAAAACACACCATCCCTGTGAGGTGATCCCCACGCGAAAACCCACTCTGTGCACGCTATCCCCCTACCAGGGATTCTTCGATGCACGCTATCCTCAAAGTGGCGGTTGGCATGTCATGAAGGGGCTGGCGGCGCCAAATCGCACGCCATTCTTCCAACGCCAATCGTGGGGGGTAGCATTCCTCTCGAGGGAACAACCCAACGGCACTGGGGAAACCCACAAGGTCAGACTGAGGGGGCCGAACTGTCATTCACTGTCCCTAACGACGTGCGTGGCTGAAGAGGGACTCCGCCGCGCGGGTTATGCTTGTTGTTGTTCTTGTAAACCGGGGACAGCACAATTCTGGGACCCCAAACTGTCCCTAATACTTCCTCACAATGCATTCCTGCGCTCTCGCGCGGGACTTCGTCATAATGTATGCAGGAACTGCGCTCTCGCGTGACACTTTCTCGCAATGTTTTCAGACGCCGCGCTCTCGACACTCAGGAATAAGCTCTCGCCATGGCCTATCTCACGATTTATTTGGGAATCGCGTTATCGCTTGAGATTTCCTCGCGATTCATGCAGGACGCACGCTTCAGCAACCCGCCTGCTCGACCTGGCCGCCTGGGCCCGCCTTCCCGACCCGCCGGGTAAAGTCTACCCGCTCGATCTGCCCATCTGGTTCCAAAACGTGTTTTCTGGTCCTAGCCCCCCTCCTGCTACTCTCTCTCTCTCTCTCTCGTGCTCCATCCTCCTCCCTCCCCCCCTGTTCCTTTCTTCCATCCGTCCTCTCTTCCCCTGCCGCAGGGGCTTCATAAACTACACGTTGCGGGTGAGACAAAATTCCCCAACGGGATACGATCGAGGACGAAGAGTGCGATTAACGAGAGCTCGGGATCTACGTGTTTATAAGCACGCGGGCAGATAAGAGCGACCCGCCTTAAAGTAATTGATGTCGTTGATGTATCAAATCTGAAACCTCCGCCGACCCGGGCTGTTCCGTCGCCATCGCCGTCGCTGCCGCCGTCGCGTCGCCGCCGCCATCACGTCCCCTCCTTCCGCTGAGTCCGTCGCCGCTGCCCCCCTTTCGTTGGGCCCTCGTCCTCAAGCACGCCAGCCGAGGCGCAATACACCAGCTCATTCACAGCGAAATTAAGCAACGCTGTCATTGAGTCGAAGGGCAACACCTTCCCTTCGAGCCCTTCCCCGCGAAGGGGGGGGGTCCTGGAGGGTGGTCCCGGGGGGGGTCGTTCGGGAGGGGGTCCCAGAGCAGAATACCACTCTCCCGGGGCCCATGGCCCGCCCTTTCCCTCCCATTTCAGTCGAGGACCGAGGCCTCCAGGGTCGGCGGCACCGGCCGTAAGGCGTAAGCAATGATTATTAATGACCCCCCCTTCAGTAACAATGGTATGTTTCAATCAAAGTGCTTCTCCAGGGGCTCGCACTTTGACTTAACAAGGGAAAGTGGATTGTCGCCAATATGTAATTCTGTGACTTCGTATCAACAACGACGACGACGACGACGACGACGACGACGACAACAACAACAACATCACCAACAACAACAACACCAACAACAACAACAACAACAACAACAACAACAACACTAACACAAACAACCCCAACAACAACAACAACAACAACAACAGCAGCAACAACAACAGCAACAGCAACAGCAACAGCAGCAGCAGCAGCAGCAACGCCAACAACAACAATAACAACAATTCGCCGGCCCAACGGGCCAGAGGCGTGCTAAGATCTCCGGTAACTGGTTAACAATTCTCTAGTTCGCGCGCGCGGGACGGCCCCTGGGAGTTCCTGGACGAAAAGTACCCCGGGCGAGTCCCGGCTGATCCCCGGGCGACTCCACCAGAGCGCTCCATGAGCGCACCAACAGGGCTCCGAGACGTCCCCGAGAGCCCCAAGAAAGGCCAAGAGGCCCCCAAGAGGCCCCCAAGATGGTACACGAGGGGTCCGACATGCCACAAGATCGCTCCAAGACGCCCAAGATAGCCCCCAGACGCCCCAAGAGGCCTCCAAGAGCACTCCCAAGAGGGCCCCAGGAGGCAAAATTCATTGCTGTTTCCTTAGGTTTTTGAAAGATTTTGGAGCTTCCACCTTTTCGGCTTCCCGACGCCCCAAGACGGCCCAAGAGGCCCCCAAGATCGCCCCAAGAGGGCCCAAGAGGCCCCCAAGAAGGCCCCAAGATGGCCCAAGAGGGCTCGAAGACGGCCCAAGAAGCCTCCAAGACGGTCCAAAAGGCCCCAAGAACGCCCCCAAAGGGGCCCCAGAGAGGGAACACGAAACAACATTTCGAGCCCTCGGCCCTAAGAAGCCCCCACGAGGCCCCAAGAGGCCCCTAAGAGGCCCCAAGAGGCCCCCACGAGGCCCTCAGGAGGCCCCCAAGAGTCCCCCAAGCGGCCCCAGGAGGCCCCCCAAATGCCCCCCCGAGCACGCAAGCAAGTGCAAGCGATGCTACAATGTGCTCTCCTTTCGGTAGACTCCCAACGGGGCCCCTACAGACTTGCAACAAGCGTCAAGAACCTGCCCAAAAAGCACTGTCCAGGAGCGTTCACAAGTGCCGCGAAGAAGCCCTCCTTACGCCGGAAAGCCCAGAAAGCCGGGTGGGGTGAGCTGTTCTTCTCACCACCGCGCCCTCTCACACAATGGCTTCCGCACGCCGCCCAGAGCGCGACGTTCGGCTCATGCCCCCAGAACGCTCCAGGAGCGCGCCAAAACGGCACCGGAACGCCCCCGAAACAATCCAAGCGGCCTCAAGTCGCCGAACAATCGTTCCAAATCGCCCAAGATGACCTCAAAATTGCCGTCGAGGCCGCCAAGAAGCCCCAAGAGAGCCTCAAGAGGCCCTCCAAGACGGCCATTACAATCAAAAATCGTCCCATTCCCAGAGGAACATGTACACTTCCCGCATGAACGGCGTTTCGAGTTTCACAGCGCCTCAGACTACGCAAATAGCCCCCAACATCGCCCCGAGACAGCCCAACAATCCGCTAAAATCGGCCCAAGACGGCCCAAGATAACCCCAAGACGGCACAAGAGAGCACCAAGACCGCCCAAGAGGCGCCCAAAGGGGGATTCTGCCCCTAGGAGCACCTCAGAAGCCACCAACATCCCGCCAATAAGTCCCCCAAGACGCCCCAAGAACCACACAAGAAGCCCAACAAGAAGCCCCAACGACCCCCAAACGGCCCTTACGGGGCCTCAAGAGGCTTCAACACTGCCTCCAAGAGGTTCCCGAGACGCCTGGCAAAAGAACCCCCAAAGCGCCGCTTTGACACCAGGCCCTCGGGCAAACGGCAGACATGAGACTGTATGGGCCGGCGGAATGAGCGCAGCGATTAAATGACAAGACCAACAACAACAACAACAACAACAACAACAACAACAACAACCACAACAACAACAACAACAGCAACAACACCAACACCAACACCAACATCAACACCAACAACAACAAGAACAACACCACCAACAACAACAGCAACGATGACGACAGCAACAACAACCACAGACACAACAACAACAACGACGACGACGACGACGACGACAACCACAACAACAACAGCACCAGCAGCAACAACAACAACACCAACACCAACAACCACCACAACAACAGCAGCAGCATCAACAACAACAGCAACAACAGCAACAACAACCACAACAACAGCAACAGCAACAGCAGCAACAACGACGGCAACAGCAACAACAACAACAACAAGAACAATAACAACAACAACAACAACAACAACAATACCGGCTCTCTCCTCATGCTCCCTCACATTTCATTCCCAAATCGGGCTCTCGCACGCGACTTCCTCACAATGTATACAGGAATCGCGCTCTCGCGTGGGACGCCCTCGCAATTTATTCAGACGCCGCGCCCTCGACACTCAGGAATCATGCTCACGCTGCGGAGTTTTCTCACAAGTTATTTGGGAATCGCGCTACCACTCGAGACTTCCTCGCGATTCATGCTGGACGCACGCTTCAGCAACCCGCCTGCCCTTTGTGCCTTCATTCCATCAGTTCTCATTTCCGTTGCCTTAAAGGCTTCACGGCCCAATTCAGACCATCCCCAATTCAGACCATACGCTGAACTGCAGCGGGGTGAAGATGAAGGTCGAGTTCACGACCCGTCACTATCGTACCATCTGTCGCAATTCCCCCGTTCCTGTACTCAGTCTCCGTCCTTCAGCGCTGTTGCACAGTCACAGTGGCGGAGTTCGCCGCAGGCAGCTGGATAGTATACACCATGTTTATCACAACGCAAAGCTCAAACCACAACGTGTGCCAAATATCTTGCGCAACACATACCCCACTCCTCCGTAACGTGCACAGCATGTATTGCGCCCCGCAGCTTGCCCCGCATAAGTAACCTGCATCACACACAAACACACACACACACACATAGCTTGCGCCTCAAAGACTGCACCGCATGGATTGCGCTTCGCGGACTGCATCCCAAATGCTGCACCACATAAGAGCGCACTTCGACATGCCAGGAACCCACCGCGCACGTCACCCCGAGGCAGGAGTGCGACGCGCGCCCACACGCCGTGCGCTTTCAGTGCAACTTGAACCCACCGGCACCGTTGGGCCCTGGCCTGTCGTCGGACAGGCCCCGCCTCCAGGCGGCGCTGGAGGCGCCGCCCGGGCGGTCCAGCGCCGTTCCGAGAAACCCGCGCGGGCCTCCGAGTTTTTCTGTTTTTATGTCATGGCTCGCTCCCCGAACATCAGAAACTTGATATCGAGAGCGCGAGCCCCGGTCAGATCGATGATGAATTGTCCGATGAACGTTTCTCGGGTCCCTGGCTGCCACGAGCGAGTCTGGGCATGAGACCGCTTGGATGCCACATTAAAGCCCGGGTCTCTGCTCATATGCTTCTGTTTCGCCATCTTGGGAACCAGCCTTAACCTGTGCAAGTTTAGCACTCAACTTGCGAACGCGAAATTGTGCTCGTTTTCCAGCTGCACGCACGTCTCCGAGGGTACGGAAATCGACTTCATCCAGAAGCAACAGCACCCGGGTCAGGCCGACCTCAAAGACCTCACACCGATGCAGTATCGCTTTTGCCATACCCGATTCCAGCGTAGCATTAGAAACAAGAGCCTCCACCTCATGTTCGAAGCTATCGATATCACGCGATGTCAGACTGAGCACCTCCTCGGCATTTGCATCTGACACTATGTCCACCAAAGGTGGGTAGGAAACACCAGCACGGCTGTACCGTTCTAGATCGGTCTCGCCGCATCGGCGTGGAGAAAGGTACGCATCAAAAACACTGCGTTCGGCAGCCGAACAAACACCACAACTCTCTACCACCACACTTGTTTCGCGTATAATGCCGCTAGCGGATCCGGCAGCTTCCAAATATCGTAGAGGCCACAAGCACCCATCTTTTTCATTGAAAGGTCGACCCGATGCATCAGCGCCAACTAGCTGGCCAAACACAATCCGATGGCTGTTCTGTTGCTGATTCGAAGAGCCAAGCGAAAGAAAAAACTTGAAACCGTCGGCGTCGTGACCATGCGCGACTGCCGACAACAATCCTGCACGGGCATGCGTGAGTTTTCTCGTGCCAGAAACGTCGTCAGCGCTGAGTATTGATCGTGCCTCACAGCCTGAATCACCAAAATCCACACTATCGCTTTGAGCGATGGATCCGGGTAAAACTCTGAGGAACGGCATCCCTGCAAAGCCCAGCTTCCTGCCATCGCTCATAAGGTCGCCTCGGCAAAGTGCGCAAAATTTTTGGACGCCAGCTTTGGTCACGTCCTGGAAAAGTTCGAAGTACATAGGTCCACACTGCTTCTCGCCGACCTTGAGCTGCAACCATGCAACTGGGTTTGGTTCCAACGTTGATGCCTCGTGTGGCAAGGCTGGTGGCAGTCCTTGGTCTTCACATACCGCAGCAGCCGTTGGCTCATCGTCCTCGCTTGGCAACTGCTCTCCCAGACTTTGGTCTGAGTGCATACTTCGAGCATCATCGCTGCTGGCCTCCTCGCGCCACTTGCTCTTCTTCGGCCCGCTCCCCACGGCCACACCCACCCCCCGCCTTTTCATCGGAAACTGCCTACGGACAGCCAGCAATAACAGTCAGAACCATTTGAGCGAAGTGGCTATTGAGGTATGGCCCGAACACTTGACAGACCAATCAAGCAACAACACATACACCGTCATTAATCGAACACTGTTCTGGCCCCAAGTCTAGTGCATGCACAAACGCACAATGTTCAGCATGCGAGTCTTCCGCTCAAAAGCGGTCCCCAGGCCTCCCCGTCTCCTCTCTGTCCCTCCCGCCGCTTCTACGTTTTCCACCCCTTCCCCTACCACTACTTCACCTCCTCCCCCTCGTCCATCAACGTTCTTTCATTCTCCATCACATCGACGGCGGCGGCCACGGCATCGACTGCGAGGGCGATGGCGGCAAAGTGGGTGGACGCGCCCGAACTGGACACGGAGAACAATAGGTAAGATGCCCAACAGCAAACGTTGTCCAAAACCGACAGCGGCCGCGGGTGGGCAGGCGACATTTCGACACAACTGGACAAAACGTGCGCGGAGGCACCGACGCTGAGCCCGGCTCAAGACGGACGAGAACCGCCGTCGGTACTCTCTGCCCCCATCATTCCCGCACCCGCTCCGATCGGGCCGAGCCGTTGACGGGGAGCAGCGTCGACGGCTCCGCCGAAGACGGCACCGACGACGCCGGGCGACGCGACGAGGGCGGGGGAAGGGGAGGGGGAGGAGGAGGAGGAGGAGGAGGAGGAGGAGGAGGAGGAGGAGGAGGAGGAGGAGGAGGAGGAGGAGGAGGAGGAGGAGGAGGAGGAGGAGGGGGGAGGAGGGGGAGGAGGGGGGGGGAGGGAGAGGGGGAGGAGGGGGAGGAGGAGTAGGAGGAGGAGGAGGAGGAGGAGGAGGAGAGGAGGAGGAGGACGAGGAGGAGGAGGAGGAGGAGGAGGAGGAGGAGGAGGAGCAGGAGGAGCAGGAGGAGCAGGAAGGGGCCTGCGCCGTGGCCCCGCGCCCGGCGCGCGCGCCCGGCGCCCCGCACGCCGCCGCGAAGCGGGAGGCCGTCAGGCGGTGCCGTCGGGCCTCCCGCGCGCGGGCAGCAGCGGCGGCGAGGGCGGCGGCGGCGGCGGACCGAGGCGAGGCCCGAGGCGGCAGCAGGCGAGGGAGGGGCGACGGCGGTGTGGCGCGGTATCTCTCTCTCGCGGCCGCTCGCTCCCGCTTGCTCTCCTTCCTTCTCCTCCTCCTCCTCCTTCTCCTCCTCCTCATATTCCTCCTCCTCCCCAACGCCCTCCTCCTGCGTCGAGGTCTCCACCTCCTCCGCCCCGCCCTCCTCAAGATCTCGACCCGCATCTGCCCGTCGGGCCCCTCCTTGAGCGCGGTCTGACCAGAAGACCGCGGCGGATCCAGCCGTGGCGACGAGGGAGATTCCAGAAGGCACAACAAGTGACGGGCCGCCCTGCCCACTGCTCGGTGGAGGGGCTCCTGACTTCTTTGAGGAGCTCTCCTCCTCCTCACTCCTCCTCCTCCTCCTCCTCCTCCTCCTCCTCCTCCTCCTCCTCCTCCTCCTCCTCCTCCTCCTCCTACTCGTCCTCCTCCTCCTCCTCCTCCTCCTCCTCCTCCTCGGTCAGGCAACCATCAGCGACGACAAAGCTTTTGCGATCCTTTCTGCAAGATGTCAAAGAACGTGAAGAAGTCTGGTAAGCAGTACAACCACTCGAATGCAGAACAAGCGGTTCAGGAGGGGCGACGAAGCATAGGAGAGTGGAGAAGCCCGCCGCGAGGGCATAGATCTGTAGGCGTCGGCAGGGCGGTCCCCCACCCCTCTCCTCCGGTCTGCTCCGCAACCCTGGCACGCACCTTGCTTTGAGGTGCGTGTCCACCAGCGCTGGGTATGTCAGGCAGTGGTCCCCAGCACAATAATTCCTCCTGCTCTGATGCAGCCAGCCCGTATAACAAAGACGCGCGACAAGGATGCCATGGCGGCACTTTTGCGAGCGGGGCGCGGCCAACGAAAACGGCCAAGGATGGGCCGAAGATGCAAGGGTAGCCTTTGAAAGTTGGTCATCCCGAAAAAGTTGGTTGACTGTAAGCAATCGAAGTACCCCTAACCCTTTGGGAGGGGACCTAGAAAGTTTAGGGGGGCCAACAACAAGGGGGATCGGTAAGGAGGGGTCTTGGTTGCAGATTCTCAAACGAGACCACCCATGCGAGTCGGGATACCCCTAAAAACCGTGGGCCCAAGCTTGGCCACAAAATCACTGTATTATCAGGGTTAGGGGCGGCATTCTGCTCAACGATGCTCGCCTCTCCTTGCCGCCCCCTCACGGCCCGCCCCCCCGCCACCCGCACAGGGGACAACCCTAGAGGCCTCCTAGGCGGGGTCCAGCGCCGCATCGCCAATGCAACGCGGATGTATAAGTGATGCATCGGCGATGCATCGAAGACGTCGGCGCCGTCAGCGTGGAGAGAATCGGGCTCCGCCTCGAGCCGCATCGCCAATGCGTCGGCGATGCGGCGCGATCCTCCGACCCTCACCTCACTTGTTCAATACAGGGCCCCCAGAGCCCCGACCCTTCCCCCATGGCAGGCTTTGCATCCTGGGCGCCCCTGTTTGCGGCCCAGGGATCCCGCGAGGGCCTCCCGAGACCGAAACTAAGCACAGCAACCTGTGCTATGGGTTACCTACTAAGCGTGGGGGGGGACCCCCCCACACGGGGGGTCAACCTCGCCCCGTCGTCGCGCTGCGCACGGGGGTCGGAGCGCCTTCGGCGCGCGGTGGCTGACCGCGACTAAGGGGTCGCTGTGAGGCTGTCGGCAAGGGTGGCGCCCCCCCGACCCTCATGAAAACACTCTTTGTTGGTCGGCGGGGCGAGAGCGAACCTCTTCCGGCTAAAAGCTAGGCGGGCCGCGCAAAGCACTAATTGGGGAGACAGGGCGCGGGCTGGCGGGGCCTCAGGCGGCCGGAGGGTGCGGGGTGCAGGCGGTGCAGAAGAGCTTGCACAGGAAAAGGTACGCCTTGGACAGGAGCCAGAGCATGGTTCTTTTCCGCACGGCGACCCCGCCTGCTCCGACCCCCTCCGGGAGGCCCGGGCCGCCGCACCCCGCGGAGGGGGCGGCCCGAGGCCGCGGGGCGGGCGCGCCCCGCGGCCTGCAGCCACGCCTCGTGCGCGCGGCCGTCGGGGTGCCGCTGCGGCACGCGCAGCATCCGCTCCACGCCGTCGCCCCCGACCTCGCCGGGGAGGGGGGCAGGGCGCCGCCCGCTGCCCCGAGGCCCTGGCGTGGCAGATCTCTTTCACAGCCTGCGGGCTGGTGGTGCAGAGGAGGGGTGAGACCTGCAGGGGAGATGACGAGGGGGGCCCCAACTGGGGGGGGCCCTCCCGGGCCCTCCTATGGAGCCAGCAGGGGCCCAAGAGGGGCCTGGGAGGGCCCCTCCGGGGTCTTGGCTTCACCCTCCAGTCAGATCACCCCCCATCCCCAGGGCCCTGGCGGACTGACTGGCGATGTTTCGATGTTTGGTCTGGCAAGGTCGGATTTCAGGGAGCGGGGGGAGGATACACGGGGGGGCGAAGAAACGAGCACCCTTCGTGGCATCTTGGACCTCAAGGAGCTCCTTGGGGGCACAAGAGGCGCAATGCTCTTCCACCCTCCTCTTCACTATCGCCCCCCAAGTACGCAACGCCCGAGGGAGAGCGCCTTCGCGGCCGCAAGGCGGTGGACGGCGGACGGACCGCGGTGGAGCGACGAGGACAGAACGACACGACGACGACGATGACAGGCGGCGATGACGAAGGAACGCCACGAAGACGACGGACGGCGACGGCGACGACGACGGAACGACGACAAAACGACGGCGGACGACGACAACGACCACGGCGACGGCGGAACGACGACGGATGGACGAGGACAGACGACGACGGGACAAAACACGACGATGACGGACGACGACGACAACGACGACGCTGATGACGACGACGACGACGACGACGACGACGACGACGACGACGACGACGGCGGCGAAGGCGTTGAGGGCGGCGGCGGCGACAACGGACGACGAGCGACGACGACGGACGACGGCGACGAGGAGGGCGGGTGGCTCGCGACGAAAGGCAGGTCTTCTCTCTCACCCGTCGCGGCGGCAGGGGAGAGAGCGGCTGGCGAGAGGCCTTCTGGAGGCACCCCAACGCCCCCGATCTTCGGCGACGGCGACGGCGACGTCGACGAACGGGCAGGATGTTTGCTCCCGCGAGGGCAGGCAGGACGCGTGGCTCGCCAGAGGCCTCCTGGAGTACCCGAGGGCCCGCCGCAGAACGCTCCCAGACCTCGAGCCTCGGTCCTTGGCAACGACGGCGACGTCGACGTCTCCCGACCACGGAAGGGCCGGACGACACGACGACGACGACGACGACGACGACGACGACGACGACGACGACGACGACGACGACTGCGACGACGACGTTGACGACGACGTTGACGACGACGGCGACGACGACGACGGAACGACGGAACGACAACGATGCTGACGATGTCGTCGACGACGGCCTCGACGAGTGACCCGCGGCGCCACCGCGGGGCTGGTGTGGGGGGGAGAAGAGATAGGGGGTGGAATGAGGTGTGTGGAACTTTGGGAGGGGGGAGGTGGGGGCAGGGCAGGTGGAAAGAGGGGAGGTGGGGAGGGAGGTGGAGGAGGGGGGAGGAGGGGGGGAGACGCTGGGAAGTGGAGGAGGGGGGAGAGACCAGGGGGTGGAAAGAGGAGAGAGGGGCGTGAGGGGGTCCGCCACCCTCTACCCTGCTCTTCCATCCCTCCCTCCTCCACAACCCTACTCTCCACACACTTCACACCCTTCTCGAATTCCCTCGTCCCACCCTCGTTCCTTCCTGTCTCCACCCCACCACCACCACCACCACCACCACCACCACCACCACCACCACCACATCATCATCATCATCATCATCATCATCATCAACATCATCATCATCATCATCATCATCATCATCATCATCATCATCATCATCATCATCTTCTTCATCATCATCATCATCATCATCATCATCAGCATCATCATCATCATCAGCAGCAGCATCAGCATCAGCATCAGCATCATCATCATTATCATCAGCATCAGCACCATCAGCATCAGCAGCAGCATCATCATCAGCATCAGCATCGGCATCATCATCAGCATCATCATCATCACCAGCATCATAATCATCATCACCATCATCATCCTAGTCATCATCATCAGTATCATCATCATCCTCATCATCATCATCAGCTTCTTCATCATGATCATCATCAGCATCGTCAGCATCATCATCGTTATCATCATCTATATCAGCATCGTCATTACCATACCCATCACCTTCTCATAGTGAATACCATCAGCATCGCCATCATAATCATCATGACCCTCCGTGTCAGCATCATCAGCATCATCATACTCACCATCGTCATCATGTTCATAATCAGCATCACCATCATCAGCATCAGCACCATCGCCGACATCAACATCAGCAGCAACAGCATCAGCATCAGCATCACTACCACCAGCATCATCATCACCATCACCAACAGAGCCAGCATTCTTCCGCCAACAGTATCACCATTACCACCATCATGAGCATCATCATCATCACCAACACCATCACCACCACTACCACCATTAACATCATCATCATCATCATCATCATCATCATCATCATCATCATCATCACCAGCATCATAAATATCATTACCAGTATCATACTCATCATCGGAATCCCCACCCGCATCATCACCATCATCGTCAGCAACACCACCAACTGCATCATCATCAGAATCGTCAACATCAGCTGCATCATCCTCATCATCATCGGAATCATCATCGTTTGCAGCAACATCAACTGTAGCCATAGCATCAACATCAGCACCAGCGTCATCGTCACCATCACCATCCTCCTCCTCCTCACCATCATCATCAACACCAACGACATCATACGCGTCATCGACAACACCACCGTCACAATCATCATCAACATCAACATCATCAGCATCATCAACATCATCATCTCCGTCATCATCACCATCATCAGCATCATTATCGGTATCATCATCTGCATTATCATCATCACCACCAGCATCATCACAACAACCACCAACATCAACACTATCAACAACAGCATCATCATTATCATAATCACCCTCATCATCAGAATCATCAGAATCATCAGAATCATCATCATCATCATCATCACCATCATCATCATCATCATCGTCATCATCACCATCCTCCATGCTCCCTAGCCGCTAGCATCTCCATCCCTCCACCTCCACCTCCATCCCTCCACCCCCATCTCCACGCCCGTCGTGGCGGAGGCGCGGCAAGACGAAGGAGGAAGATGGACGACGAGGAGGAGGAGAGAAGGGCAGGGTGAGGACGCCTGCGCCCTTCTCCCTCCTTCAGTCCCCCCAGCTCTGGCTTGCACATCCGTTGTTGTTGATGGCGACAGGCTGCCTACAAGCCTAGACGCCCTCGGGTGAAGGCCGCCCTGGAGCCGCGACGTGGCACCTTCTGAGAACCAGGGGTGCTTCTAAGAGGCGAGTCCCACCTCTGGGCGTGATTTGCTCAGCGAGCAGTTTCTTCGACCTTCCCTCTTCCTCTTCGCGGAGGAGTGTTCCCTTCCCCCCTCCCCTCCCCCTGGGCCTGGCGGGGAAGGCATCGTTTCTGAATGGGCTGGTGGGGTTACGCAGAGCCCAAGGCTCCCATGAACAGACATCGACTTTCGTTCGTGCCGAGAGGAGGCCGAGCATGGACGGAGAATGCCAGGGAGGGCCACCGTGTTCTGCCCTAGAAGGGAACAACTGCATACAGTGGAGGCCATTCCGCAAGAAACCTTCCACAAGAAGCCCAACCCTGAGACCCCAGGACGTCCATTGGCTTCTGGTATGAGAACGTCACACTCTCCATAGAGAAACCATCGAACACACAAGAAACCCGGGGCACCCAGGAGGCAAGCGAGGAGTTTAAAAAACCGAAACGTTTGGAGGACCGCGCGGATTTCTAGGATCTGGGCTAGGAGCCCCCTTCCTGGCGCAAGGAGCGTGCCAGGGGCGGCGCCGGACGCGCCGTGAGTGGGGGGCCCAGCGCGGATGCAAGAACTCCTCGCGGAGCACCAAAAGTTTATGTTCATGGTGTTGGTCTTCTTCTTCTTCGAGAGGAGGCACAGCAGGGACGGAGAATGCCAGGGTTAGGTCGAGCAGTCTTACTACAGGCGGATTTTGGAAGACATCTCCCAAAAATGCCCCCCCCACCCAAAAGAACAACAAAAAAGAAGAAAAGCACGACACATCGACAACAGAGACTATTTTCAGACTATCCTTGAGTACGGCAGGTCCGTGCCGTGTCGACCCTGGCGTTGGTTCCTGACACCGCGCTGGATCGTTCAACCTTGAACGATCGGCCGTCTCCGCAACGTCCGATCGTTCAACATCGACCGATTCTGGGCCGCCGTCGGCGTTCAACGTTGAACGTCGGCGGCGGGGTCGCCGCCGGTCGACACGACGCGAACCTACCGCACTCCTCCTGTAGGAGGGGCATGCCCGACTGACTGCCAGGCAGGGCGGCAGAGGCCTGCCCCCCCGCCGCGAGGCGCCCCCCTGCCGCGCGCGCGCCGCGGCGGGCCTCCAGCGCCGCCACGGCCTCGGCGGCCAGCCGCTCCAGCTCGCCCTCGGCGCCCGCCTGTCGGCGAGCCGCCGGCGGGGGGCGGGGGGCCGCGGTGTGTTCTTGTGCCCAGCACCGCGGTGGGTGGACCAGGAGTGGACTCGAACCCTCGGAGGCGCGCAGCCTGGGGGAGGGCGACGGACGGACGTCGCGTGGCCTCGTCCTGCGGCTCCCCCACGCCGCACGGCGGCGGCCCGCCGCCGGCGGCCTCGCCGTCGGAGTCGAGCAGCGCCGCGAAGCGGGAGGGGCGGCCCAGCCCGGCCATGCAGAGGCCGGGGGGGGGGGCTCCGGGCTGGCGGGCGACGGTCGGGAGATCGGAGCTGCGACGACGACGATCGATCGATCGATGGACCGCGGCTGCGGGCAGTGTGTATGTCCACATCCAGTGTTAGGAAGTTCCAGCCTGCTTTCGCCTCGACCGCCCGGAAGAATTTCGAGCACCGAGAGAGTACCGACACTGGAGGGTGTTTCACGCGTCGGGCCCTGGGAACCGAAACGCGATCGACACTGTTTCGATCCTTTTCTGGGGGCTCGTTTTTTCTCTGGGACGTGTGGTCCTCAAGTGCGATGGGAGCAGCAGAAGTCCAGTGCCTCGTGGACGTTCTGGGAAGAGAGGGCGCCACAGGGTCGAGGCGCACTGGATGTGGAGAAAGATCGGGCCTGCAGCGGCTGGATGTTCAGCCACGTCCCGTGCGCCTCGGGTCTCTGGGGGAGCACGTAACTCCAGGCTGCAGTGGATGCGGACACAAGTCCTGCCCGCAACGACGACAAGCGATCGATCGACGACGGCGACCCATCAACATCGGCAATCGACGACGACGACTCCGGCAACCGACGAGGGCGAGAACGAGGACGCGAACGAGAAAAAGGACGACGACGACGACGACGACGCGGACGAAGACGACGACGAGGACGGCGAGGACGACATCGGTGGCGACGAGGACGGCGAAGGCGGCAATCAATCGACGGCATCGGCAATCGACGGCAACGGCGGCGCCGAACACCGATAAGTTCCCAGAATTTCCCCGGCTGCCCAGGGGATCTGCCAGCCCCGGCATGTGGCGATCTAGAAAAGAATCCCCGAGGGATCCCAACTCGTCCTGGGGATGTAGCGGCCGCGGTATGCAGGGTGGGCAAGTCGCGATGCCGGTTTTCTCTAATCTAACAACCCCAACCTCTCGGGAAGGGGCAGAAACTGGTTGGATCAAAAATGCTGGATCAGAGCAGAGCGGGGAGAGGAGGAATGAGAAAGGATAGTGCGAACGGATCGGAGGTTGAGGGACGAGATCGACCTGGAACGGAGAGACCCCCTCCGGGAAAACGGTTTCGGTTTCGGGTTCGTGCCATGCGTGCGAGGCGACGCTGCGTGGGCGGGCGAGACAATTGTCCGAACCTCCCCCTGTCGGCGGGCGGTGGCCTGGATGTCCCGCCTTGGTGTCCCGTCGGTGTCCCGTTGATGCCCCGTCGGTGCCCCGTCGGTGTCCTGTCGGTGTTCCGTGCTTGTCCCGTCGGTTTCCCGTCGCTGTCCCGTCGGTGTCTCGTCGGTGTCCCGTCGGTGTTTCGTCGGTGTCCCGTCGGCGTGCCGTCGTTAGATCGATAGAAAGATCGATAGTGAGATCGATAGTGAAGTCGATAGTGAGACCGATAGTGAGACCTACATTGAGATCGATCGTGAGACCGATCGTGCGACCTATAGTGAGATCGATAGTGAGGTCGATCATGAGATCGATAGCGGTATCGATTGTGAGATCGATGGTAAGATCGACAGTGAAAGCGATTGAGTGAGACGGTGGTTCCTCCCCCCCGAACCTCTTTATCACCCTACGGGTGGTCGCATGGGCCGTACAAGAGGGGGGATGCAGAGCAGGGAGGGCGGAGGGAGGGAGGAGAGAGAGAGGAGAGGGGGAGGAGGTAGGAAGGAGGGACAGGACAGGACCAAGGAGGGACGATAGGAGGTAGGCAGGAGGGACAGGACAGGACCAAGGAGGGACGATAGGAGGGACGATAGGAGGGCCGGGTGGGCGTGGCACGCGCCAGGCCGCAGGGCCGAAATCGGCTGCGGACGAGCGGCTTGCGGAGGGGCCCCGCCCGCCGCACAGCACGCCAGGCATACACGCACCTCCAGAGCCGAAGCAGTCAGCACATCTTCGCCTCCCCCCCTTCCGCTGCCTCCCCGCGCTCCTCCTCCTCTCGCACTCGTCCTCCTCCTCCTCTTCCAGCACGTCGCTCTCTCCGTCGCCCCGCAAGCTGCAGGTCTTGCGCAGCCGGCTTTCACAGAAAACTGCCGCGGCGCTGCACCAGGCCCACCCCCACCCCATGGAAGCTCTCCAACCTCGCTCGGTGCGTCCCGCCGCCCCCCCTCCCCCCATGTGCCGATCTCGAGACATGCGTACGACCCACGCTGCCAGGGTCATCCTCGGCTCAGCGCTGTCCAGCCCCGCGGTGCAGAGCAGTCGAACACATGTTCAACATTTCTCGTCGGCGGCGAGGCAGAGGCAGTCCGCTCCAGCGTGAGGCTAGTCGGGGCAACCGACAGGAGAATTGGCCGGCGCGCAAGAGGGGGGGGAGCGGGGGGCGGGGAAAGACACGAGAGCGGCCGCGCGGGGGGGGAGGGGGAGAGGAACGCGGAGCAGTCGAACACATGGCCACCACCGGACCGTCGGCCCAGAGCACGAGCCCCTCCCTCCGAAGCACCCAGGCCCCCATGGAGAGCCCGCGATCAAAGCGCACACGGGTACCCCTCCAACGCCAGGCCTGCCCTTGACTCTCGTGGCAGCTGTGCCGTGCCCGACCTCTGGCAGCTCATCAACCGCAACCGCTTCCCTTCGATGCCGATGCCTCGGCTCACGGTGTCCCCTACCCAGGCTCTACACCGGCTCACGAGCACGGGGGGGAAGGGAGGGGCACCCACAGCCTGCTCCCCTTGCCGCAGCACCCTGCGCGGGAGCGCGTGCGAGAAACCTGTGGCCCCAAAAGCAGGAAGGACGGACGAGGGAACAACAAATGCCAGGCGCGACAGAAGACAGTGCAGGAGGACGAGGGCGCGGGATACAACGGAAGACCACAAACGCAGCAACGTGCGTACGCACGCACGCGGGCACATGTTTGTGAGGCCGGGATTCGTCAATCGGAGCTCGCTGGGGAGCAACGAGATATCCGGGCGCGATGGATGTGGATATATGTTGGCCCCTGGGGGATGTGGATAAATCCCAGCCTTGCGAACATGTCCTCTTATTTCACCCTCCTCTAGAGGAAGAACAACTGCATAGACATCAGGGGTTCTGAGCGTAGCCCTTGAAGATTACCCCTCATCCGACAGGCCGGGGTGTTAATTGGATTGGAAGAAAGAAATTCCTGATCCAGCCTCGCATTATCCTTTATGCCGCGTCCGCCAGGCACAAATGCGCTGGTGGCCCCTGGCGATCGACGAATGACGGCTTCTGACCGGTGCTCCCCGCCTCGCGGTGTCGGGCATGGATCGCTGAAATAGAAGACTCCTAGATGGGGTCCGAGTCGATGGGGTCGGAGGATCGCGACGCATCTCCAATGCATAGGCGACTTCGGCAATGCATCGGCGCCTTCGGCGAGAAAATCGGGTTCCACATCGAGCCGCATTGGCGATGCGTTGGCGATGAGGCGCGATCCTCCGACCCCAGCTACTCTGACCCCATTTGGAAGGCGTAGAGGATCGCTCGAAGACAAATAACATCGGAGAAAGGCGACTTGATACACTGGAGACTCAGAATCGGCTCAAAATCGGTCCCGAGACCCCTCCCAGGGTCCAAGCGCACCAGTTTTTCGAGCTGCGTCCAGCCGTGGCGGCAAAGGGCCCCCCCCGAAGGCCAACTACCAGTGCCTCGAAGTGTCCTCCGTTGATAATTCGAAGTTTTTGTTGATGCTGGATTTCGACATTTGGCCGAAGAGTGGGGGAGGGGTGGGGGTCGGGGAAGATAGGATGGGGGGGGCGACAAAGACGACGACGACGACGGCGACGAGGACGATCACGACCACGACGACGACGACGACGACGACGACGACGACGACGACCACGACCACGACGACGACGACGACGACGACGACGACGACGACGACGACGACGACGACTCCATCCTAGGCTGCCGCGCGCTGGGGCGGGCGGATCCTCTGCCTGGCCCACGACCAGCGCGGCGGCCTCCTGGCGGCGGGGGGGAGGCGTTCCCCGCCGCGGGAGCCGCGCGCTGCCGGCGGGAGCGGGTCCGGCCTGGCATAGGGCACCACTCCTCCTCCATATTCTCCCTCTCCTCCTCCTCCTCCTCCTCCTCCTCCTCCTCCTCCTCCTCCTCCTCCTCCTCCTCCTCCTTTCCTCCCTCTTCCTCTTCATCTTCCTCCCCCTCATCCTCCTCCTCTTCCTCCTCCTTCCTCCTCACCTCTTTCCTCGTCGTCCTCGTCCTCGTCCTCGTCCTCCTCCTCCTCCTCCCTCCTCCTCCTCTCCTCCTCTCCTCCCCCTCCTTCCTCCTCCTCCCTCCTCTCCTCCTCTCCTCCTCCTCCTCCCTCAACCTCTCTCGTCCTCGTCCTCTCTCGTCCTCGTCCTCGTCCTCGGTCCTCGTCCTCGTCCTCCCTCCTCCTCCTCCCCCTCCTCCTCCTCCTTCCTCCTCCTCTCCTCCTCCTCCTCTCTCCTCTCTCCTCTCTCCTCTCCCCTCTCCTCCTCTCTCTCCCCTCTCCCCTCTCCCTCTCCTCTCTCCTCTCTCCTCTCTCCTCTCTCCTCTCTCCTCTCTCCTCTCTCCTCTCTCCTCTCTCCTCTCTCCTCTCTCCTCTCTCCTCTCTCCTTTGTTAGGGCAAGGTGCAGGTGGTACTTAGAAGGGCTGGCGGTCGGCTTCAACCTAGAAATCACAAGCCAGAGGCTCAGGAAAAATAATCGTTTCTTGTATTCCCCAATCCGTTCCATCCACTCCGCCACCAATCCCATCCTCTCTCCTCCATCTCCTCCACATTCCTCCTCGTTCAACGCTGATCTGTTTTCTCCAATCCCCTGACCTCCAACACGCTTGGTCTCCTTGGCCTACCTCATCGAGACATATCGGGTGAGCTCACGTCCTATCTATCCGCATGACCTTGCGTGTTGGAGGTCAGGGCATTGGCACCCCACAGTGTGCGTCAACTCGGCAAGCACGCGCGTGCACCAGTACGTCTACTACAAGTACACGCACACGTGTACAACTGCACAGTACGCACGTATACTTGCAGGGGTACAAACGCCAGCATGGATGCGCATTGTTTGTCTAAGCGTACCGTATGTATACTTACGCACTTGCATACACATGGCGTCCGCAACTACACAAGCATCGAATGTCAAACCGTTCGTGCCCCCTCACCTTGTCGGAAGCTTTGGGAGGGGAGTCTCGGGCTAAGTTGCAGGCAGGCCCCAAATGGTTCCCGAAAGGCCTTCCGAAGAGGAATCAGAAATCTTTCTCCCGTGGGGCCCCGTCTGTTCATGTTATTTTTTTGGCATTTGTCAGGCCCCCGCAGCGCCGAGCTCCCCGCTCGGCGAGGTTCTCGAGAATCTCAGGTCGCCTTGCGACCCGCCCGATTGGCAGCCATCTGCCGCCAACCACCTCACCATCACTTCTGCTTCTTCTGAAGCAGCTTCTTGCGGGGCCCGCCGATGCCCTTCTGAGCGGGCGCCGTCACCGAGGCGGAGCTCGCCGCCTGGATGCTGGATGACTCGACTGTCTCAGCGGCGTCGGACATCTTCTCGCCCTGGCCCCGATGAGGGGCAAACACGTCGGAGGCCGCGAGCTTCTTCTTCAGGTTCGGCGGGAAGTCCTCGAACTTGCACCGCAACGTTCCAGAGATGTACTTGTTCATCTCGGCCAGCTTCTCGTCAACAGCCTTTATCTCCTGGGCGTCCTTGGCCGTCTCCAGGGCGATCACGTGGGGGAGCACGCAGCAGCAAGACAAGATCTTCGCTGCTTGGTTGTACATCTCCTCGTACTCCTGCACCTTGTCGTTGAACGTCTTGATCTTGGTCGCTTGCTCATCGGCCCATCCCTTCATGCGGTCTGGCAGCTGCGAGCACATGTTCTTCCAAGTCTGTAGTTGGGTCGCTGCTGAGTTCACCGCTTGGGCGCCCTTGTCGACTTCTTTCGGTTGCGTGGTCTTCGTGAGGTCGGGGTAGCTGGAGAAGTCCCACTTCTCGACTGCTTTGTAGATGCCTGTGTACGCGTGCACGAACTGTTCCATCAAGTCGAGCTGGTTAACCTTGTCGATCATCCTGTTGAATGTCGCATCCCAGTCGGCCCGAAGCTGTCCAATATTGCGTTGGAAGTTCGGCCGAGCCGAAACTAGCGTTGGGTGGAGCTTCTCAGCTTCGGTTGCAAGCTGCATCGTGATGGTGAGGTCAAGCAGGCCGCCTGGAGACTTGCCGTTGGCCCGCTTCGCAGTCGCCTCCTCCAAACGCTCGAACGCAGCCTGCGCCTTCAGGACAGGGAGGGGCCCCTCAGGCAGGTCGCTCGAGAACTGGCCGAACAGGTCAGCCAACTTCTTGTGCACCCCGCGGCCGACGACACCCGAAAGAACAGACACGATGCATGCGCCGACATCGTACGTGTCCATAGTGTACAGCAGCTTCACGTATGCAGAGATCTCTGCCGAACTTGTTCCAATCAAGACCCAGTGGCGCGCGGTCTCGGCTGCCGCGCCATTCGGGCATGGGAGGTTGGCGCAAGCACTCTTTGGATCGAAACCCTTGGTCTTAGTCCACGCCTTGACAAAGAAGCCAACCGCGGCGTCAAAGTCAAATGACTCCACTGCGTCTTTGCCGTGGTGGATGTCGGCTGCGATGGAGACCGCAGAGGCGCAAGCAATCCGAAGTTCTTGAACACCGTCGGGCAACTTGAACGGAACCAGCATCGCGAAGTACTCCGTCAGGAAAGCTAGGAACTCCAGTGGACTCAAAGCTTCATCTGGGACATCAGGCTGCCTGTCAGAAAGACCGTACGTGTATAGATCCGAGGCCTCGCGATTGTTGAATACATATTCGAAGAGAACGGAGAGCTGCTGCTGCTCGCAGAAGGCCATCACGTCGTTGCCGAGATGAAGCATCAATCTCGCGAGGTCCCTCATCAGGCC